AAGAATACAGGACAGTGTAACCACAATCAGTAGTGGCACACGCACCCACACAGAACTGCTGATACTGCTGCTGCTGTCTGCATCACCCTTCTTGTTGTTTGTGAGTTCAGGAGGAAGTGTTGTTGTTGTTGTTGTTGTTGTTGTGTCTGTATCTGTATTTCCCGCACTTTCTTGAATACTTGGTGATTCACTCTCTGCAGATGAAGTGCCATTCTCAGTCGTAGCAGCATTAGAACCAACATCACTCCCTGTGGCCGAAGTGTTGGAAGAAGAAGGTTGTTCTGTTTCACTTCCCTGTTTAGATTCACCTTCTTCGGTTGTACTGACCACATTGCTTCCAGTTTGACCGTCAGCGGCAGGAGCACCGCCAGTACCCCTTGCGGGAGAAGAAGCAGCGTCTTGTGAACCGTTTCTACTTTGAGTATCCCGAGTTTCTGGTTCAGCAGGAGTAACAACAGCAACACTTGGGTTGGCACGATCCTCTTGTCCTGCATCAGTATGAGAACCCTGGTCAGTTACAGGATGACTCTGACCAGTGAGACCTTGACGTTCGCTACCATTAATTCCACTGTTTTCATTTGATTTAGCAAGAGCCGCGTCTTGTGGTTCGTTTTTACAACCAGACTCACCAGAAGGGCAATGCTCTTGAGCGTCGAGATCCGTCTTACGGCAACTATCCGCCCCAGAAGAGTCCGCACAATCATCAGGACTAGCAACTTCAGGTTTACTAACGCTAGGAGTACACGTGGGATCACTCTTTCCTGGAGGACAAGCGTTAACATCACCAGGTGGTGTTGCAGCAGGACGAGGAGCACCAGCAGCAGGACAACTACCACTACTATCACCGTCTTTGCAAGTGGAAACACTCTCAGGTTCAGGTTGGGCCTCTGCAGCTGCCATACAGAGACACTCAACACAGAAAAGCAAAGCAAGAAAAAACAACACACGGCGCACCATCATTGTTATAAAAAGTAAAAATACACTCTGAGTTTACTTGGCCACAGAAATAAGAAGAGAAAGAGAGAAAGTCAAAACAAAAAAATAAGCACAGAAGAATTAAAGAAAAGGTAATCAATGACAAATCCAGAAGAATCACCTAGATGAAATCTAATTAAAGGAACATAACAAATATTACCCAGTATTTAAAAAAAAAACTCCCAATCAATAAAGGAGAAAAAAAGAATCCCAGAACACAGTGACCTGAACCAAAAAGCACACTAATACGTTTCTATGGATAAGCTTGGCAACGCATACGCACTCATGATCAAAGATGTATCTGTTACTCTTTTTCCTTACTCAGCACACAGCAGATCAACAAAATACTGCAGGGCAAATCACACAACGCCCTCAGCAAATCATAAACAAACAAACAGATATTAACCATTAGCCCAACTTACCAGTAAACACAAAGAAATACACCAACTATGGGTGTAAGTCTATATGTGTATATATACGCAATTATAAATATAAATTCATCTGTTATTATCATTTACTTTTCCTCCCCTGCAAAAAGGCAGTTCATCATTATTATCACAGTACAAGCCCAGGTGCACACACACAGAGAGAGTCTCCAAGAACACACACACACACAATGGAGTAGCAATAATAATAATTATAGGATAAACACAGAGAGCAAAAACACACAAAACACACATTAACATTAAGAAACAAAAAAGAAAAAGAAAATCCTAACAGGTGAAGGATTAGTTAGATTGTAGTGTGGATGCATGCAAAAAAAGAAAAGAGAAAACAAAGGATGACCAGAGTCACACCATCACCACCACCACCACTACAATCAGCACACAAGAATACAGGCCAGTGTAACCACAATCAGTAGTGGTACACGCGCCCACACAGAACTGCTGATACTGCTGCTGCTGTCTGCATCAACCTTCTTGTTGTTTGCAGTCTCAGGAGGAAGTGTTGTTGTTGTTGTTGTTGTTGTGGTGGTGGTGGTGGTATCTGTATTATCTGCATCACTTGGGTTACTTGTTGCCTCACTCTCTGCAGATGAAGTCCCGTTCTCAGTATTCGCAGCATTAGATCCACTGGTGCTCTCTGTGGCTGAATTGGTTGGAGAAGGAGAAGAAGGTTGTGGTGGTGCACCGTCTAGTTGACCGTTACGTGCAGGTGCACTGCTGCTGCCATCAGCAGGTGTCGGAGATGTATTGGGAGAAGCAGCATCTCCGCCAGAAGGGTCATTAGAATGTTCACCACTAGTAGCTGCAGGACCTTGTTTATTGGGAGTATCTTTGGATTCCTTTGTAGTTTGATGAACAGTTGCTTCCTGTGAGGGTGAAGTGTTGGAAGAATTCTCAGGTGAACTCTGAGATGCATTACCAGATGTCTCTTTCCCTTCATTATCACTTGATCCTGTTGAGTCTGTGTTCTCTCGGCTTTGTGCATCTTTTGTGTCTTTGGCTTCCTTCTTTTCTTCCGGCGATTGCGTGTCTTCTTGAGTTCCATGCACGCCTTTATTTGATGAAGGTTCAGGCAGTTTTTGGTTCTGTCCACTGTGTCCATCTGTTCCAACTGGATCTGTTACTGACTGTTCTGCAGAAACAGATGCGGTTGCAATAGCGGTATCTCCTTGTTCTTTATTCCTTGAGTTTTCAGGTAAGCCGCTGATTTCTGCTCTTATATTTTGGTCCGCATTCTTTGTCCTTCGTCCCTCATCATCTCTCCCACCTTCACCACCTGATCCGCCTGTACCAGTGGTTGTATGGCCACTGGAAGAATTTGAAGTAACAGGAGCCTCATGACCATTCTCCTCCTCAACTTCATCACCATCATCTTCCAGTCCCAAATCCTTCTTAACATCACAAGCATCCTCACCATCGGGGATAACAAAAGCAGCAATAGCACGACGAACAAGAAGAGGAACACCAATAGTGGAAGGTTTAATAAGGGAATCAGAAGCTTTAGGACTATCAGCCCATACTAACCCACAAGCACAACACAGTGCAAGAGTTAGTAAACAGAGCAGGTAGCACCTCACCATTACAGTCTTTGTCATTGTTGTTGATTATTTCAATAGACTGATACAAGAAAGAGATAGAGGAAAAGAAGGAAAAAAAATTAAAATAGAAACAAACAAACATACAACAATGCAACAAATACTCACAGTGGAACAGGGGGAAGCAACAGCACAGTAAAGCAACAAAAAGAATATCCCGCTTGTAATGATATGTATCCATTAATAGAAAAAAAAAGAGAACACCCCACAATACCCAAATAAGAGAGAGCCAAACACACACACACAATACTCCATGGCTCTAGTTTATGTATTAAATTACTGCACACACACATCTGTGTATACTAGCAAGAGATGTATACCGTCAGTGAGCAGAAAAGCCCAGTTTTCTGCATACACACAACGGAAAAGCAAGTAATGGAATTATTAGGAAAATAACACACACACATAAAAGTAAAAGTGAAAAGAAATTCGAATTAAAAAAGAAAGCTGGTAAACAGATTATTAGTTCATTCATTCACCCATGAGGGATGTACGCAATTATGATTATGTTAGTACCACCATTATTATTATTATTTGACCTCAGATGAGTCCCACTGTTCAATACACTGTAGCGGAGACGAACACGACCACAATCAGTAGTGGCACACGTACCCACACAGAACTGATACTGCTGCTGTCTGCTTTACTCTTCTTGGGTGGTTTGGTCTCGCTCTTTGCAGGCATAGGAGGTTGTAGTATTGTTGGCATTGTGGGTGGCGTCACCTTAGTGGGTGTATTGCGAGTGCTCGCTGCTGATTCACGTTGTACAGGTGCCGCAGCATTCCTTTCCTGATTATCATTCTCTTTATGATGCGTATTCGTAGGAACTGACACTTCTTCATGACTCTCGGAAACAACAACATCTGCACGAGGAGGACGAGCAGGACCACGATTAATTGCAACAGTAGGAGTTCCACCGTCACCAACAAGAAGTTTATTATGCACACCAGGATATTCTGGATTACCGTATTCAGCGGTACGCTGGAGTACAGGGGGAGTAGTGGGATCAGCAGGTGTAACGTTAGGAGCTACACCGGGAAATTTCGGTTGACCATTTGAAGTATTCGAAACAGGCGATATAGTGGGAACACTAACACCATCTTTTGGTTGTGGACCCAGATGAGCAGCCCCAGGCACACCTGCTTGTTGGGGAGGAAAGGGAACACCTTTGGGATACCCTGGGGCTGCTGCGGCAGCAGGGTCAGTATTCTCAACTTTGGCATTACTGCGATTACGAAGAGAAGGATCAGGTGATAGAAGAGATGCTTTACTGGTGTCGGTCACACCGGTTGGGGAAACACCACTTCTAGCATTCACAACTTCTTCATCGGTCTTAAGAACAGGATCAGCATCACGTTCAGTCTTAAGAGCTCCACCATGAGAATCCGCATCACCAGGATATCCAGTACCAACACCAGTACCTGTAACCTGTTTAGCAGCAGCACCTGGATCCTTCGCCTGTTTTGCAGCCTCAGTAACATTAGCTCGTTTAGCAACATCACGAACAACAGACTCTGGAGGATTCCCACGACCCGGAATAGCGGCAACACAAGGAACCTTATTCTCCCCCGCAAGAGGATCAGGACATTGGGGCTTATTTTGACCCACAACAATACGAGCCTCATGTGGTTCAACGAGCCTAGTACCAAGGCCACCAACAACACCAGTTCCATCAAGGTGTTGAAAGGGGTTTTGTTGACGGCCAGTTGGAGTTGTAGCTTTGGATGGATCAGCCGAAACACACCCATAGGCGCAGCACAACATGAGAACCAGTAAACACACCACGCGGTGCATCATTTCCCTCATAGTCATAATAGTGATAGTGGGTATCGCTTAAAAACAATGGACTAGATAACAGAAATACAATATGAGAGATTAAAAATGTAATCAAAACACAGTAACACAAAAAAAAAAAACACAATAATGTAAAAATAAAAACCAAACCAGTAACAGAAAACATATCACCTAAGAAAACTCGGTAATATTATAAATAAGAGGGGAACCATATTCACATGGCTACCACATAAAGCACACCACTCAAGGAATCCAACTGAAAAAAAAAAGAATTATAGGTTTTCCAAGAACATGAATAAAGAACAACTCATTCTAAACGGTCCAAAAGCAATTACGAGTATTTATCTTTCGTTGATTACTTTCTTTTAATTTCCTTGGTCAAAGCAAACCAATCACCAGAATGCAAAAGAAAACTCACTAAGTAGCCCAAAAACACACATACAATGGAGTAGCAATAATAATTATAGGATAAACACACAGAGAGAGCAAAAACACACACACACACACAATAACATTAAGAAACAAAAAAAAAAAAAAGAAAATCCTAACAGGTGGAAGATTAGTTAGACTGTAGGGATGCATGCAAAAAGAAAAAGAAAAAGAAAACAAAGGATGACCTGAGTCACCACCACCACCACAATCACAATCAGCACACAAGAATACAGGACAGTGTAACCACAATCAGTAGTGGTACACGCACCCACACAGAACTGCTGATACTGCTGCTGCTGTCTGCATCACCCTTCTTGTTGTTTGTGAGTTCAGGAGGAAATGTTGTTGTTGTTGTTGTGGTGGTGGTAGTGGTAGTGGTTTCTGAATTATCTCCCTCATTTTGGTTGTTTAATGATTCACTCTCTGCAGGTGTGGTGTCATTTCCCGTCGTTGTGGTTTCAGATGCTCCTTCGCTTTGTGACTCTGTACTGCTGGAAGAAGATGACGTGACGATATCACTCGTGTTTTCTTTACTTTCATTGGATGCACTGTTGTCGTTGTTTCCTGGTTCACCGTTAACTGCAGGCGTAGCAATATCCACAGCAGCAGGTGCAGGAGCAGCAGACTTACCACCAGTTCCATGTTCACCAGAAGCAGCAATGTCCCCGGGTTCATGTTGATCTTCACCTGGTGCACCAGTATCAGAATCTTTACCTGGTCCACTGATAACATCACTACTAGAACTAGCAGAACCAGGAGTAACCAAATTCCCGGTTGAAGCTGACGTTGGTAGAGCACCAGAAGGTTGTAGTGGAGACTGAGAAACAATGGTTTGACCATGAGAGACACCTGGATCTCCTCTGATACTGTCAGAATCAACAGGGTCTTCGCCTTTTTCACCATTAGGACCCAGTTTACCTGCCTTGCCAGCAGGACCAGGGTCACCTTCAGCAGATTTAGCACACTTTTCAGGTTCACTATCACCAGGACTGCAACTAGCACCATCAACAACTTCACCTGAAGACGGTTCAGAAGTATCAGCCGCCACACATAAAGAGATAATGCTCACAAGTAACGTCACAACATACAACACACGGTGAAGAAACATCACGGCAGCAGTTCTTTTCTTTATTTAGGGTATCTGAGCTGCACAAGGAAAAAAAAAGAAAAAGAGAACAAACAGAACGTAAAATAACCACAAACACATTCCCCGACAGTAACAGAGAGAACAAAAACAAAAACAAATAGTCATACAAAACAACATCATCAACATAAATATCAACAGGCACCACAAAAAGAGCACCCAATCAAAAACTAAAAAAAATTAAAAATACCCACAGCATAATCAAACACACAAATCAGAACACTGTGGGAACTCTTGAGTTAACATTTAATTATAAATACAAATGTTTAACAGTTATTATTCATTCCTTCTGGACGAAGAAAAGCACAAAAACATTTCGCAGGGCCACAACACAGAAGATGCACCTCAACAAAACCTAAAAGCAAACAAAAAAAAAAGAAACAGATATTAAACACTGAGCCCAACTTACAAAGTAAACACAGAAATATACACCAACTATGGATGTAAGTCTATATATGTGTGTGTATACGCAATTATAAATATAAATTCATCTGTTATTATTATTTCTTTTTTCCCTCTCACAGCAAAAAGGAGTTCATCATTATCATCACACTGCAAGCAAAAGGTGCACACACAGAGAGATTCTCCAAGAACACACACACACACAATGGAGTAGCAATAATTATTATAGGATAAACACACAAAACACATTAACATTAAGAAACAAAAAAAAAAAAAAGAAAATCCTAACAGGTGGAAGATTAGTTAGACTGTAGGGATGCATGCAAAAAAAAAAAGAAAAGAAAACAAAGGATGACCTGAGACACACCACCACCACCACTACTACAATCAGCACACAAGAATACAGGCCAGTGTAACCACAATCAGTAGTGGTACACGCACCCACACAGAACTGCTGATACTGCTGCTGTCTGCATCACCCTTCTTGTTGTTTGCAATCTTAGGAGGAAGTGTTGTTGTTGTTGTGGTGGTGGTGTTTGATTCCTCATTAATGGATGATTCACCTTCTGGGTTTGCAACGTCTTGTGAAGGTGTTGCAGGAGTCCCAGAAGCATCAGTACCAGAGGATTGTGGTTCAGTATGTTCTTGATGCTGCGCATCTGCTTGGGTTGTGGATTCTGTTTCAGCTGTTTTATCACTGTTTTGTTTACCTTCATCTCCCTTGTGTGTGGGGGTGTTATCCTTTGTAGTGCTTCCTGGCGATGTTGTTGTACCAGAAACGTTTTGTTGGGTGATTTGTTGCGATTGCCCCTGTCCATCAACTTCTGGTTGAGTAGGTTTCCTACCGCTACCACCATCCCCTGGAGATACATCTTTCATCCCGTTCTTTTGGTCTTCACTACCTTGAGATTCCGTGTTCTCCGTCAGAGTATTCGTTGGAGTTTCCTGCTGTTCCACACGTCCATCGTTACCAACTGCAGTTTGAGTCGCACCTGGTTCACTACGTGTTCCAGGAGATAAACCTGTAGTACCAGGAGCACAATTTTCGCCAGTAGTAGTTCCACCGGCAGTACGACAAGTAGAGGACGTAGAAGATGAAACAGCCAGATTCCCGTTAGACCCTGGAGCACCAGGTGCAGCTTGAGGGCCTGTCGCAGTCACCACACAAGCAATGCTAAGCAAGAAAGTTATAGAAAAAAACGTACGACACAGCATCAGTAGGGCAAAAAACAATTTTTCTTTACTTGGATAAATTATCTGCAAGAAAGGGGAAAAAACGGAGAATACACTAGTCACACAAACCAAAAAAAAAAAACAAATCAAAAACAGCAGACAAACATAAAATCACAATAAAAACAAGAATTAAGGTGAAATCAAATACTATGCCAAAGTAAAACAAGAAAAAACAAAAAGAAAACCAGGAGCACGATTAAGTAAATAATCAAACACACAAACGAGACAGCTACCATTATACTTGAACTAAAATGCAATTAAGAATATGAATGTGTCTATTATCATTTGTTTCTCCCTCTGTGCGCTCACATACTTCTCTCCACTGTGACTGCTTCTAGCATCAGCCCGTACACCTCTTCATCCTCCACCACGTATAGGCAGCAGGAGTGTCCACCATTATAAGCCTGTATGGGGCCACAGACGGCTCTTCTTCATGGCAGTAGGATCTCATCAAAGCAGCAGAGTGAGAGGCACACCGTACAGCTCAAGGAACATCACCAATAACGACCACCGCAGCATCGTGAGTGTTTTCACCAACACCACACACAACACCAATATCCACAGACACCACCAAAAACAGCAATGGTCACCGTGTGAAAGATGTACAACATCACTCTTCTTGTTGTTCTCGACACTTGAGTTCACACATCAACACAGGGAGTAAGGAAAAGAAAGAAAGAAAGAAAATGAAGTGAGAAGGGGACACACATAGTGAGTGGATGCAGGGCACAAATACACACAGTGGAAAAGAGAGAGAGAGAGAGAAGCATCAACTGCAGAGTAAAGCAACACCAAGGAATATTCCGCTTGAATGATATGTACCCATTAATAGAAAAGAAAAGAAAACACCACACACAATACCCAAATAAGAGAGAGAGCCAAACACACACACAATACCCCATGACTCTATATATATTAAATTACTGCACACACACATCTGTGTGTACTAGCAAGAGATGTATACCGTCAGTGAACAGAACAGCCCAGTTTTCTGCAAACACACACAACGGGGAAAGCAAGTAATGGAATTATAAGAAAAAGAACACACACACAAAAGTAAAAGTTATTCGAATTAAAAGAGAAAGCTGGTAAACAGATTATTAGTTTTTTCACCCATGGGGTATATACGCAATTATGATTATGTTAGTATAACCATTATTATTATTTTGTCCTCAAGTGAGTCCCACCGTTCAGTACACGGTAGCGGAGAACAACACAGCCAGAATCATTAGTGGCACACGTACCCACACAGGACTGACACTGCTGCTGTCTGCCTTACGCTTCTTGGGTGGTTTGGTCTCGCTCTTTGCAGGCATAGGAGGTTGCAGTATTGTTGGTATTGCGGGTGATGTCACCTTAGTGGGTGTAGTGGGGGTGTTCTTTGGTGATTCAATCTGTGCAGGTGTTGCAGTATTCTCTGCCTGATGACCATTCGCTTCACTTTGAGTGCTTGCAGTATCTGAGGAGTCTGTATTACTCTGGGAATGAGCATCCGTGGCATGAGTAACAGGACGAGAAAAACGAACACGACCCGCTTCACTGCTGCCATTGCCAATATTAATAGCAGCTTCAGGCACACCAGGATATTCAGAAGAATTACCAGCAGAGGTTGCGGGAGGAGGATTAAAGGGAACCTCAGGAGCAGTATCACGATGACTGGAATTAAGACCAACACCATGTTTAAGGTCAGCTCCAACGCCTGGCTTACCATTAACATTCGGACGTCCACCAACACCACCATCAGGTTGTGACTGGGCAGTTAAATTAACAGACTTAACGAGTTTGGGGTCAACACCGGGAGTAGGATGAGCGTCAACACCTCCAGCAGGATCGGGAGTAGGAGCACCAGTTATTTTACCGGCACCAAGAGCAACGGACTTTCCACTTGCATTTCCAGGAACACCAGGAACACAGGGAACACCGTCAGCACCAGGGACTCCACCAATAACAGTGCCACTTTTATTAGAAGTTTTGAGACACTTATTCAAAGCAGTACCAGGATCCGGTGTAACGTCATTCTTGAAACCAGAGACACCAACTTTTTCTGCAGTAGGGTCAGAAAGACCTGTACCAGGTGAGATACCCAACTGTGTCGCAAGAGTAACATTAACCTTTCCAGGCACACCAACACCAGGATGTTGTTGGTGATTTTTCGCCGGACTTTCACCACTGGGTTTACCCGGTTTATAGCCTTGATCAACAGCAGAAACACCAGGGGGAGCACCAGTACCAGACGGGAGAGAACCAGGAACCTTTACTCCAGGAGCTCCAGCACCAACAATACCGGGTCGAACAGCGGGGATAGCACCAGGAACACCAGGAATAGCTCCAGTAGACCCAACTGGAGGAACACCAGTAATTGGACCAGAACTAGGATGAACACCATACACACGACCAATCCCATACCCAGCAGCTTGATCTTCAGTGAAAAGTGGAGGTTTACGTTGAAGGTGATTAGCCATCACGCCTCCATAGACGCAGTACAACATAAGAACCAGTAAACACAGCATGCGGCGCATCGTTTCCCTCTTAGTCAAAATAGTGATTGTGGGTTTCGCTTAAAAGCAATAAACTAGATAACAGAAAAACAATATGAGAAATAAAAAATGTAATCCAAACACAGCAACACAAAGGCACACAATAATGTAAAATAAAAAAAAAATACAGCAGTTACAGAAACTAAAACAGCAAAGTAAACTCAGTCAAGAAGAAAAAAAAAGACATCCATATTCATACGGCTACCACAGAAAGCACAACACTCAAGGAATCCAACTGCAAAAAAAAAGAAAATGAATTATAGGTTTTCCAAGTACACGAACAAAGAACAACTCATTCTAAACGGTCCAAAAGCAATTACGAGTATTCATGTTCCGTTTTTCACTTTCTTTTAATTTCATTGGTCAAAGCAAAGCAATCACCAGAATGCAAACGAAAACTCACACAAGAGCCCAACACACACAATGGAGTAGCAATAATAATTATTATAGGATAAACACACAGAGAGCAAAAAGACACAAAACACATTAACATTAATAAAGCAAAAAAGAAGAAAACTCCCAACAGGTGGAAAAATAGTTAGACTGTAGGGATGTATGCAAAAAAGAAAAGAAAACAAAGGATGACCTGAGTCACACCACTACCACCACCAGTCAATCAGCACACAAGAATACAGGCCAGTGTAACCACAATCAGTAGTGGTACACGCACCCACACAGAACTGATGATACTGCTGCTGCTGTCTGCATCACCCTTCTTGTTGTTTGAGAGTTCAGGAGGAAGTGTTGTTGTTGTTGTGGTGGTGGTGGAGGTGGTTGTATCTGTATTTCCCACATTTCCTTCTTGGGTGCCTGTTGTTTCACCCTCTGCAGATGTACGTTCGTGCTCATTCGTTGCAGCACTGGAACCACTGCCACCTTCTGTGTCTGAAGTGGTAGGAGAACGTGGAGTCGCTGCTCCATTTTCACTTCTTCCACTCTCTTCAGATTGCGGGGCACCTGCAGGCACACTACCACTCCCCTCAGAGGCAACAGCACCAGAACCGGCACCAGCAGCTGCAGCTCCTTTACCGTGAGAATCAGAAGCTTCAGTACCAGGTTCACCTGAAGTACGTTGAGAACCTTGCTCAGGATTACTTCCGGCAGGTTGTTTTGGTGTTCCAGATGGTGCAGATGCTTCCGCGGGAAGTTGATTATTACCATCACCACCACCAGATGAACCACCAGCAGTACTCGAACAAGTACTGCTAGTACTACCGTCAGCACCAGTACAAGTACCAGGGGAAGCAGCTGGACCAGCAGTACCAGTAGAGCCTCGTTCACCTTGAGGACCCTGTTCTGTTCGTCTGGTTGGAGAACAAGAGGGACCAGTTCCATCAGGACAATTGCCTTTAGTGATATCACTAATGGTTGCGCATTTGTCTGTCCGTGATGGTTCCGTACACTCATCAGGAACACCAGCTTCAGGTCTACCGGGGTTATCACTACACTCTTGACCAGTCGTGCCTCCATTACAAGGAATACCACCAGGAAGAGGCGGAGGAGGAGGTGTTAGGGCACCAGCAGGTTTACAAGTATTATCAGGAGAAAGAGTCTGACCTTCAGCGCAAGTAATACCAGAATCAACTGCATGAGAAGAATCCGTCTCAGCTGTCACACACAGAGATGCAACACTCAACACCAAAGCGAGAAAACACAACACACGAGATATCATCACAAAAACAAGATTTATTTCGTTGCTTTAGTTCACTTGAATACAGAAAGAAGAAGAGGAAAAGATAATTAATAGAAACACTCAATGTACTAGAAACAGAAACAGAGAAGCACAGGAGAGCACATCAAAACAATCAGTCAAATAAAACAACATGAGGAGTAAACGAAAAAAAAAAAAATAGTAACACCGAAAAAGCAATAATCCAACATCACTCATAGTCCAATTAAAGGGCAATCACACAGTTTCCAACACTAAACATTAGAATCCCATATTTCAAAGAAAAAAAAAAAAAAACTTAAATCGAAAAAAAAAGGACCAGTTGACGAAGAAAACAAACAAATATATAACAGTGTCTTTGCCTGTCAGCATATATACAATTACAAATATATACTTGTAAATATGTCTGATATGACATTTCCTTTGCAAAAAAAAGAGAATCATAACAGTGCAGCACAAAGCACAGGGCGCACAAGAAAAAGCAATAGAAAAAGAAAACAAATTATCAACGAGCCCCATTGTCAACGAAAAGTAAAGAAATACACCAAGTATAAATATAAATAGTTGTATACCCTATTACCTATATATATACATTTTATTATTTCCTTTTCTCTGATTCCAAAAAGAAGACTATCCCATTATACTGAGTAAAGCATACAGTAGCCCAAACACATACAATGGAGTGACGTATATAGAATATAGGTAATAAAACAACACAATAACATCATATACAAAAAAAACTCCCAATATATGAAAGATTAGTTAGACTGTAGGGATTGCATGCAAAAAAAAAAAAGAGAAAACAAAGGATGACCTGAGTCACACCATCACCACCACTACAATCAGCACACAAGAATACAGGCCAGTGTAACCACAATCAGTAGTGGTACACGCACCCACACAGAACTGCTGATACTGCTGCTGCTGTCGGTATTTCCTGGCACACCTTCTTGGTTACTTGGTGACCCACCTTCTGCAGATGTACTTCCATTCCCAGTCGTTGCACTGTCATCTTTACTGCCACCCTCTTTCTCTGAACCGCTGGAAGTAGATGATTGTGTTGCTCCACTTCCACTTGATACACTGCCTTCATTTTGTGGATCAGCTGGAGAGGGAACTCCACCACTCCCATCAGGAACTGTATTAGAAGAAGCACCAGAAGAACCTTGATCCGTTTGTGGCTGTTGATCAGAAGTTTGTCCTGATTCTAAATTGGGTATTTCCCCCGGTTTTTCACCAGGGCGAAGAAGACGAGGATCCTCGTTTGGACGATCACCACTAGCAGAACCCGAAGGCTTAGTACCAGGAGCAGGGGGAAGACAATTACTACCAGGGGAACCGCACGCCACAGCACCATCAGGACCCGCAGCCGTCACACGCACACAGGCAACGCAAAGCAACAACGCCAGTAAATGCAACACAGAACGGAACACCATCATCGTGGAAAGAAATCTTTTTGTTGATTTAGGATACTTTGCTAAACAAATTTATAAATAAAAAAACAAATAAAATAACAGAAAAAAAAGAAAAACACAATACAGTAGACACCTACAGACGACGGTACAGAACACAACAGACAACAGTTACTAAACAAACAACAACAATAAAGAATTCAATAATGAGTCGCCATAAACAAAGCTAAAAAAAACAACAACTTTGAAAAAGAAATTAAGATCATAGCCAACCGGGCCACCAAACACGCAATTCAGAGATATATGGGTGTGCTAGAGGTAATAAGCACATATGAATAAACTGTTATCTTTTATTATTTGTTCTCTCTCTAAGAAAAGCACACCAAAACAGTTAAGAACAAAAGACACAACAACAAGAAAAAAAAAAACAAACTGAGATAATAACCATTAGCCTAATTTACCCTAGTAAACACAACAAATATACACCAACTATGGGTGTAAGACTATATGTGTGTATATACGCAATTATAAATATAAATTTATCTGTTACCATTATTTCATTTTCCCACTGCGAAAAAAACAGTTCATCATCATCACAGTGCAAGCCCAAGCAGACAAACAGAGAGTCTCCA